TCCACCATCCACCATCCAGCCCCCTCCCCATGTATTTGCCTCCCACCCACCCATTTGCCAGGCACTATGTAATGACCACTGCAGACCTGGTCCCCATGGGGCTGGGGAACCCGATGCCCAGGTGGGGGTAGTGGGGCAAGGTAGAATGAGCCCAACAAGGTGGTGTGGGAATCAGTTTGAGCCCCCACTTTTCTTTCTCAAAACACCACAGTGGGATCTGCCCTCACCCATCGGGGGGAAGACTGGAGGCTTTTGCTTAGTGGGGGGTGAAAGAGTCTGGCCTGGGGACTCCAGGCCCCGCTGCGCATGGGGGTCCTGTGCAAGCTGGCACCACAAGCCTCAGGCATGGTCTCCTTCCCGGCTCAGCCCCCCAGGAGCCCAGCGACCCTGCCTCACTCTCAAGGGAAGAGGTGGGAAGAATCCGCTTGAGGAGCCGGCCAGAGAAGTGACCAGTTCACCCAATTGCCAGTGACGATCAGGCCACGTGCCCTGACTGCAAGCGGGCTGTCAGCATCTGGGGGCCCACCCTCAGTGGAGCGGTGCCAAGGGTCCCCAGGCACGAGCAAGCGCACTCAGCAAGAGCCTGGGAGGGACAGGGGCTGAGGGCTGAGGAGAAAAGGGTGACAGGCGCCGCCCTGAGACACGAGGGAAGGCAGTGCGGTCTGCAGCAAGAGCTGACAGCTAAAGACGAAGAATCCCGGGACGTAGCAACTCAACTGAAGAGCTGGAGGTAGAGCTAAGGAAATCCCCCAGAAAGAGCAAAAGTGGGAAAGCTGGAGAGAGGACAAGAAACACACAGGATTGTCCCAGAATCCCACATCCAAATGTCAGGAGTCCAGACACACACAGGAGATGGGAGGTGACTTTCAAAGACCTCATTCAAAACAAGCCCGGCCCTGTATGGACCCAGCCTGGCATCCCCTGGCACCGCCACGGAGATGAGAAGGAGGCACAGAGAGGATCACACCAGTCTCCACGGAAGCAACTGCGCGGCCTACAGGGTCCCAATGGAATGGGCGCGGACATCTCACCAGCAGCCATCACAGCAGAAAGGTGTAGCCGGGGCCTTCCTTATGGACCAGGGACCCACCTCCGGCCTGAAGGTGGCAGGCAGCTTATTCTGACCGCCTTTCCCTGGAAGTCACGGCAACACATGCTCCGTGCAAGTAAAGGGGAGGCTGAGCAAGAGGGCCCTTCGGGGCTCGGTGGAACTACAAAGGGGCAGAGACCCTCCCCAGCTCACATTTGGCCAGTCCAAGGGGCCTTGCGCCCCTGCCTGGCAGAGCTGAAGGGAGCCCAGGGCCACTGGCTGAGACCCTCTTGAGCACCACGGGGTGAGGGGTGGCATCCCAGACTCTCAAGGAGGGATGTTTCCAGGCCCCAGGGCAGCTGCAAACACAGCCGTGGTCCACGAAAAGGGGCACCCTTCTCCCAGCACTGAGCCTGCTGGCCAGGAACCTCAGGTCAGCATCTAGCACATGGCTCCCTGGAGGGTGGACGCTGGGACAGGGGTTTCACGTTGGGAAAGGAAGGACTCCCCATGGCCCTGAGCAGAGGGAGTCCCAGAGGTCAGATGGGTGCCCACCCCATCAGCCTCTATAATGGCCCAGCCCCCCAGGTCACCCACCACCCGATCCCCAGGGCCGGGTCATCCAGCAGCACACGGACTATGTACAGCAGACAGGTTAGCAGCTTCAGGGAGAAGTTGAACAGCCGGATCCTCAGGCCTGCGGGGGAGGCGCACGTCAGGGCTCCCGGGCGGTCCCACTAGTCTCCGCCAACAGCCCCTCCCTCCACCTGGGCTGCGCGGCCCCTAGAGAACGGGGTGCTCTGCATCGCAGCGGGTGCTATTGGGCCAGCCCCAGGGGTGGGAGCAGAGGATATCAATGCGGCTCGCTCCTTGGGGCAGGGCGGGTGGGGGTCTGGGGAGCACACCCGTGGGCTAGGACCCAGGGTTATGACCTCCGCACCCCATCCTGCACCCAGGATGGGGCTGAGTGGCCAAGCTCCCGTGGCTAAACGGAGCCTGCAGAGGGAGAGGCCGGGGTGCCCCTTATGGTGAGGGCCGCAGAGTTGGGGGCCACAGAGCAGGAGGCTAGGCGGGTGCCCCTGATGGCCACGGCCTAACTGCTTTCCAGCAGGGGGGCAGGGTCCTATCTCCCGCTGGATGTAAGGTGGCATGAAGCCATGAAGCCGAGATGAGGGCCCTGCCCACAGGTCCCCCCTGCGCCCTCCACTCCCCCTCACAGGCCCCACCCACGGGCTCCCACGCTCCCCTCTCAGGCCCCACTCACTAGATCTCTGATTTTTTATGAAGAACAGCTTGAGCCTCTCCTTGAAGGTGTTCTCGTTGACGTAGAACTCCACCTGGACCCTGGGGGGCAGGAGAGGGGTGTGGGGGCTCTGGGCGAGCAGGCTTGGCAGGGAGACAAGCCAAAAGCCCTGAGCAGAAGGGCTTGTCCAACACAGTAGGAGCCAAGAGGACTGAGGCACGAACGGCAGCAGGGTCCACCCGGGACCGGGAGGGACCCATGTGCCCCCAGCAGACCTGTCTGCTGGACCTTCCAAAGCCGCTGGGCACACCTGGGTGCCATCAGCTACTGCCTTCTCAGCGCCCAGGGCCCTCCAGGCCGCTCCAAGGTGAGCACTCATGGGCCCCTAGCCTTGGCTGTCACGGCCAGTGCCAGGATTAAATGTGCCCTGTGTGGCCCTTGGCATGGGGCTCAAAACACACCACATCCTCTACACAGACTGTTCTAGAAGCTGGTGAATTGCTCTGTGTGATGGCCCACGGTGGTCATGCCTGGAGGCTCACTGCACCTGCATGACAGTTGGGGAGATGGACCACCTGCACCCCTGGTAAGTCCCCAGACACCCCGAGGCCCTTCCAGGCTCTCAGCATCCTGGGGACAGACCGCAGTGATCCCAGCAGGAGCATGTCAGATGAGCTGGGGGGGGCAGAGGGCCATCTGATATCCCGGGTGATGTGGGGTCTGGGGACCATGAGCTGCTGCCCCAGACACCAAGGCTGTGCTGGCACGCTGGCCAGGGTAGGGCTCCTTGCTCCCCAGGGATGAGGACCCCAGCGCTGACAGCAGGCAGGGTGCACAGAACAGGCAGGCATATTTCCCTCCAGACACAGGGGGCACACGCCCAAAGTGGCCCATGCCCGGGGTGCTGGGCCCGCCTTGCTCTGAGTTGGCATGGCTGCCCCCCCAGGCATGACCTCTTGGGCCCTCAGTCACTGGCTGTGTTTGCCCCGATTGGCAGGATGGTCTTAGAAATCCCAAAAGGCCAGCCAATGGGCATCACTGTGAGCTGGGCTCCCCCATGATGATACAGAGGAACCGGCAACCCAGGGGTTCAGGGCGGGGCTTTTCGTTGGAAAGGCCATGCCCTGTGCCTCACCTTACACAGAAGTCAGGTGGAGGCAATCTGCCTCCCTGGGGATGGTGTGGGGGTGGGACAGGCCCACAGGCAGCACAGCCCCTGCTCACCCACAGTCCCATGCCACGATTGTGACACATGGGAGGCGGAAGGGCTGAGCGGTGCTGCCCCAGGGATCCTGGCGGCCCAGCCTGGGCCACAGCGGCCTCTGCTGGTCACGGGGCTCAAGGAGATCCCTGGAGGACCTGGGGGTGTGGGGCCCTTCCCCACTTTCAGGTCCCGGTGCAGGTTGGTCACCCAGCCATACTCTGGGCTCCTGGGGCTGGAGCAGCAGGACAGGCCTCCCACTGACCAGCAGGGTCCAAACCCAGAGCCAACAGTCAGTGCGCCCCAGCACGCCCCACTGCACCCCAGCACAGACTGTTTTCCCCTCCGCCTGCCCTCCCAGCTCACCTACGAACCCCTGAGTCCCACCCTCCGTAGGTGCTGCCTGGACCCGGGTCAAGTGCCACCCCAGCAGGTCTCAGAGGAGTTGGTCCAATGAACACGGGGCTCAGACAAGCCAGGCTGGATAAGCCCGGTCTGGTCAGGTCAGGGTGGCAGATGCCCCACAGTGGAGCCCAAGAAACCACAAGGGCCCCAGGACACCTCCCCAACACTCTCCTGCCCCGTCACAGCCAACCCTCAGTGGAGG